GTGGAAGAAGTAGGGGGTAGGTGTTGTGGGCGGGGGGGGGGCAAGATTGCTGGTGTATGTGGAGAAAATATCATTAGAAACTGTCTGCACTAGGCATATGACCATGGAAGGAAAAAGCCAGAGCTCTCACTGTGGTTGTAGCACAACCTGGTGGTAGCAATTTGAAACTTGAGAAAATATCAAGTCCTTTCTCAGCAGGTAGGAGAAAGTAGAGAGAAGGGAACTCAATTATTTTTTTTTCACTGCTCCAGTCAAGAATTTCCATGAAGGAAAAAAGTGAAATTCACATGTAACTGGCCATACAAGTGCCCACATATGTCACTGCACTGAAGTGCCATCCCACTAGCCCCAGCATCTTCTAGAGTCACCCAACCATCCTTGTGCCAGTGTAACAGGAATAGGAACAGGGTTATATTGCTATGTGGTTATAGTGGGTGATCCTACGAAGATACTTTAAATTCTTAGTGGGGAAATGGCCTGAGAGCACTGAGACAAACTCCTCGATCAGGTACAGTATTAGATTTAGAAAATAACAGATTGATTACTTACAGTTACTATAATAATGCTTCATGTCTGACATTTCCCCCCTTCCATCACATTATAAATATATAATTCGCTGGCAGTCTGGAAGGTGCTCAAGCATCTGCATCGAAGGTCTTTGGGAGCTTCCAGTTGTGCATCTTAGCTATATATTTTATAGCCTTATTCTCCCACCTGTACATTTACCTGGTCATCTCCTGACTTGCTATTCTGGTAGTGTCTGTGATGCATGAAGAAAGGAAGGATCTTTGCCGCCACAACTGTACTGGGCCTGCTACAACAGCCACAACAGCTGCCAAGCTAGAAAGCTAGGAACTAACATTCGTCAGATGCCAACTGGATTAGGAAAACTTGCCTCTTTCCTTGCATCTTCATCTGTCTCTCCCAGCTGGGCTTGACTTTTTCTCCAACACAGTTTAGCATCTCAAGCAGAGAGGATTCCTGCTTCTGATGCAAGGATGCTCACCTTGTATTTGAGACAAATATGGTGTAGTGCTATTAACAGACACATTCTTTGTTATGTCAGTGGAAAGTAAAAGGAACCTGAACTGCCTCAAGGGTGTAGCGGAGTGAAGAGAATTAAGTGAAATTCAGGGCTTATGCTATGGCACCTGTAACCCCTTTAAAAAAATTAAAATGGCAGAAATCTCACAACATATTCCAGTCTTCCAATCTGTATTGTCACATAAGCTCTCATGTGATTTTGGTCCTTTTAATTGTTTTCTAAATTTTATTTACTGTATTTATTTATTTATTTTGCTTTTTTTCTTAAAAAAAAGTATTCCCAAATTTGCCTATCTATGACCTGAAAAAGGACACTGGCACCTTCTTTAACTCTCCCATTCTGTTGATTCTCTGATGCTGCTGTTTACATTTCATGGAAACCTCCAGTTGACACCCGCAGAGGCTTACCTTGAAATGTAAACTGCAACTTTGGAAAAAAAGTTTATCAGAATTGCAGTAGAAAGAGAACAAATTATTTTTTCCCTCCCTGTCCCCACTGTCATGGTGCTGAGGAATTCTAGCTCATTTGCTGTGCAGCCCTGAAGTTAATGCAACCCTCCCTTCTCTGGCTTCCAGATGTGTTGGTTTTCAGCTTCTATATTTCTAGCAAATGTACCTACGTTCCATTTCTATGCATTTATGTGAACATCATACAAGTTGAATTTCAGTATATCTGTATGGGGAAGGCTGAATTAATATCCTATCACATTTGACCCTGAGATTCATGCATGATCTCTATAAGGAAATGAGAAAGTCAGTGACATCACCATTGATGTGTAAGCCCTCCGGTGAACTCAAAACTTCTCTGAGTCAAAATTCTGTTGAAAAATATCTGCTCTGTTTATTATTGCAAAATAACTTAGTGGTTTCTGTAATGATATAAAAACCCAAACCCAAACCTGTTCATCATACATAATTCAGCAAAGGAAGGATGAATTACATGACACGTATAAGAAAAGATACAAATGATGCCAATTCTAGAATTCATAAATAGCACCAGTTTGTTTTATGAATCATAGGTCACTGAAACCTCTAGCTCTAAATATCTTCTTTTTTTCCTTTTCTTACTTTTTTTCTTTCTGCTATTCCTTAATGGAGCTTTTTTTCTGTTCTGAAGTTCTTTAGATATATTGACTATAATTGCCAATGGTTATATTGGACAGGAATTGTTTTCAAATATATATGGGGAGCTCCAAGCTGAAGAAGACAAAACCAATTGCGTCCTATCTTTAATATTTTTTAATTTAGCTCTTAAAGTTCCTGGGTACTGATTGAAGAAACAATTCTACATATTAAATAAATGTACAACCAAGCCATATCATGTATTTTTTTAGAAATAAACTACAAAGGTCAGCTTACTTGAAAAAACATTTGAATTGGATTTCAACCATGGGCAGCCTAAGTATACACTGATTTCAGCCTTTTTTAAAAAAACTGTTGAAGCACGTTCAGTCCTTTAGCAGAGCACACAAATGAAGCTGCATTGTCTGACTTTTTGTTTTATTGCTATTGCTGCTGCTGCTGCCCAGTTCCAAAAAGACTTATAAATGGACTTAAAGCTTACAGCCCAATGAAGCATTCCATTTCTAAAGTTATAGGTCTTTGTACAAGAGTCCTACTTACTTACAGAAGATATATACAGAAGTAAAATATTAATGTTTGTGCCAGTGGGGTTTAATTCACAGATTACTCAGCAATTTTGTACAAAATCTCTCAGCACTAAGCCGAGATCCTAGCAGCAGAAAAAGCAGTGAACTGATTAGATTTCGTAGGAGACCTAGAGAAAAGCCCAAAGAACAAAGCTACTTAGGAAAAGCTGTCCAGTTGGCACATATTGATCTCAATGGCTTGGTCACTCATTCACCAAATTGCAAAGGAAAAAAAAAAAAAACAGTTGCCCCCAGATATATCAGCATACCTCTTTAGGGCCTTTTCCTACTCCTGAGTTTGAAGTGCTAACCAGGCATTCTTGAGATGGAAGAAAACTATACCAGTATGGAATTTGCTGTGTCCACTGCTGGTCCCTCTCCTGCCCCTACTGCCCTCGTTTTGAATAAGTGTGGTTGCCTGACTTCCCTTCAAGATGACCAAACCTAGCAAATTCTGGGCATTTTGAAGTTGCCTTGGGCAGTTTTAGAATAAAGGGGAAAATTCAGCTTCAACACCAGCACAGCCAAGGATGACTTAAGCCTGTGTCAATAATAGGCTGGAGGTGAGAGGAAGGTAATGTTGTGAAGTTATAGCAGAAAGAAGGATGTTGCCAAGGCATGTGTATGCCACGCTTAAGTACAGGCGATGAAAGGTCTTTGATAGCATTTAGTTTAACTTCCATAGACCTCATTGCATATAGTGGCTGTTACTTTTCAACATTGCTTTGCCAACACTCCCTCTGGTGTGATAGAAGTAGAAATACACTCAGCAGTTACTGTCTTTACACTACATCAATGAGAAGCTTTAGAGGTAATCCTATGGAAAATTAGGAATAAGCCCCACTGAACTTGGTGTGTTTGACTTCTGAATAAATATGCATAGGATTGGAGTCACAATGCCAACATTAGGAAGAGATTTACACATGTTGTAATCTTTGCACATTATTTTATGCATTGCTAATTCTGCCTAGTATTTGTTTAGTAACTGTCCTGTTCAGGCATTCTAGAAATTGGCCAAGCTCACTTTTAAACTGAAGATACATTTGTGTTTTTGGCATTCAATATGTGCT